GCCCACGTGCTCCACTCAAAACTGTCAGTGCTGGAAAGCAAGTTACACCAACATGTATTTGGTCACTGGACACACTATCATGCTGATCAGGTAACAGGGGTCAGATAGGGATCGTTCAACGTAGAACTTTATACTTCCTGTTGTCAGGGGGCATGTCTTAAGTAATGTCATGATTTTACCATTCATCTTGCAGGGGATCGGATGTGGATCAATCACTGAAGGTTTGATGTCTCAGACAGTTTTCTTGTAGGAGCTATTAGCGTTTCGTTTTTCATGACAAGATGTCAAACATTGAGGTCTGGCCCCACCCCTTCAGCATGCTCCGAAACAAACCATTTAGATAGCTCTGCGTCCCCCATGCCTTTTGACCAAAATGGTCAATTTTGAAACTGATTGAGCAAAATCCCTAGGAGGAGTTCGTTCACATGCGGAGGCTGTAAACCGCCAAAAAGGTGTGCAAATTGGGCTGGCATTCCAAAATGGCCGCCTTCCTGTTTATCGTACAATGTTGGTGCCAGAGGGTTTTCTGTGCATCTTGGGAAATTGGACAAGCGTATCAAATTTCATGTTTCTACGACAAACTAAGGTTAATTCGGAGGGTATTTTGAAAATTTTTAGGTGGCGCTCTTGAGCCGTTTCTGTTACGATTTTTGCCACGCCCTTAAAATACGTAATTTTTCACCAGTCCTGATGATATGCCAAATTTGGTGACTTTTGAGATATGTTAAGGCCCCCAAAACGCCGATTCATTTGGCGGAAAAAATTGCAGCTCGGGCCTGAACAGAGCAATTACAATAGGCCTTAGCAGCACTTAGATGCTCAGGCCTAACAAAATGTGACCTCAGTCATGTTAAGTCCAATGTTTTGTTACCTGTTCCAGCTTTGAGCCAAGTTTCTGCTGTGAAGTAAGGCAGAGTTTAGAGCTCCAAAGAGAGCTGATTTCTCATCTGCTTAGCCAAATTTTTAAAAATGTATTTTTTAGCAGATTTTACTAATTTTGTCTGTGTTGTACAACATCCGTTTCCAAAGCTGAAGTACAATGTAGTCACACATTTGCGAATCAAAGCTGTGTGATGAAATACAGGACTAATATTTTGACTTCAAAGTTTATCCATTGGCTCTTCTAATAAATACACCAGCTATAATAGGAGAAATTAATGTTTTTTTTATTTTATTTGATGCAATCTATTAGGATGAAATTCAATATTTGATAGAAATTAAAACATTTTACTTAGTCTTACTGTCAATACTTTACATGGTATAATTTTTCATGATGGAAGGCAGGTCAAATTTTTCTTTGCCAATGATAAACAGCAAAATCTGTTAAGTTTCAGAGTTTTCTTGGTAAAAATGACAAACGACAACAAACTGCCTTTGTTGGACTGTTTGATTCAGATGGAAAGAGAGGACAGTCTCAACATTGAAGTTGACAGAAAACCAATCCACACAGACCAGTATCTTCTGTTTGACTCCCACCATCCACTGGAACACAAACTCTCTGTCATCAGAACTTTACAACATCGGGCCGAGCACGTCCCCACGAAGGCAAAAGGGAAGGAAAAGGAACAGAAACACATTCAAGAAGCTCTTCAAACATGTGGATATCCTAACTGGGCTTTTGTCAAGTCGGCAAGGAAATCTACAAAACACACTAATAAACAAAAAAAAAAGAGAACAACAGATGTAAAAATATTGTCATCCCTTATGTTGCTGGAGTATCAGAGAAATTCAGAAGGATCTTCAACAAACACAACATCCCAGTACATTTCAAACCCAGCAGGACTCTCAGACAGAGGCTGGTCCACCCTAAAGACAAAACACCCATACACAAACAGAGTGGTGTAGTGTATGCAGTCCAGTGCAGCGAGGACTGTCCAGACCTCTACATTGGAGAAACTAAACAGCTTCTTCACAGACGCATGGCTCAACACAGGAGAGGTACTTCCTCAGGACAAGATTCAGCTGTTCACCTCCACCTCACAGATAAGGGACACTCTTTTGAGGACCAAAATGTGCACATTTCGGACCGAGAACACAGATGGTTTGAGAGGGGGGTGAAGGAAGCAATTTAGGTAAAAAGAGAAAAGCCGTCTCTTAACAGAGGAGGAGGCCTCAGATTTCCACTTTCAAAAACCTATAATGCAACTTTAAAACAGATTCCCAGCCGGTTTTCACACCTGATGGGAACAGAGGGGCCTCGTCTGTGAATTAGATGAACAAAGACCTACTGTTTAGGTGTTTAGGTGTGAATTGCTAATCTACATATGTGTGTGTGTCTTATCTCAGTCAGCCTTATAACCTGAATCCCTCACTTCACTGCTCTTTGAATTGAGAAAGCTCCTCTGATGAGGAGCGAAACGTCTTCTGTTACAAATAAAGTCCAGTTGTTTTTGTATTGAACGTTTTTTGAATTCATCATGTCCTGGATGACTGAGAATCTCCACCAGCATCTTGGTAAAAATCAGATTCAGAGACGTCTCAGAACACAGCACTGCTCTTGAGTCCATCACATGGAGTTGTGAAAGGGTGGAAACCCTTCATGAAACACGCATGTTGACAGCCAGGGGGGCTCCCCAGTTTTTAACCCGAGTCAGCTCATTTGCAGCCATCAACCTGAAGACAACACATCTGGAAGCTGTTTCCATGTCTCACATAAATTGCTGAGAAATGAGATAAAGTGGTGAGATGGTATTTATAATCCTGCTACACTTTAAAAACTGAGCGCACATGCAAACCTCAGGTTGTTAAAGTTCCTGCCTGCTGCAGCAGTTCGCTCAGAAAACCAGTCATTAGTGCAACGAGGTGGAGATGAACGGACGGTCCATGTGGTCACAGATGTCTGCTGTGATAATGAGGTGAACTCCACAGAGATGTATGTGGCCCCCACTGTGTGCTCAGGTTTGACTTTGCTGCTTTTCAGAATGGGTCTGCTGTGATTATCAGAGAGATTTACTCTGATGTGATGTTCTGACACAGAGCAGCTCAGTGTCTTTGCTCTTTCTGCTCTGATGTAGTCCAATAAAGAATGACAAAGTGAACGTGGGTGTATGAGGGGTTGAAACGAGCTCTTCTTTTCATAGTACCAGTGATGAGTGTGCAATATAAGGTTGCATGAGACAGCGTAGTAGTGTGTGAGAGAGATGTAAGTGTGTGTGTGTGTGGGCGTGCGTGCGTGCGTGTGTGTGTGTGTGTGACCGAGTTCGTAGTAGTGTGTGAGAGAGAAAAAACAGTTTAAGTCCTACATGGCACCTCGTAGATCTCAGTTTTGTACCACCTATTAAAATACTGTTCTCCAGGTACCGTGATGTGGCAGACTAATGTTACAGTTTGTGTTAATACTTTTTGTTCCCAATCACGGAGGAAAGGGGGGGGGGGGGGGGTAAATATCCTGCATCCATCCATCTGTCTCTGCAGTTTGTGAGCATGATATCTTGAAAAGTCAGTGAAGTACTGTCTTCCATTTTGGTATGCTGCAGCATCCAGGCGTAAGAAAGTATCCTATGCCTTCAAGTTTTTATATTGCTTAAAAGTGTATTTTCCTGAAATGATTTGGGTGATTGAAGATTAATTTATGAGGGCCAAGGTCATCCCCTGGCTCCTCCATTGCACCTGGTGGTGGAAAAAATTGCTCCCTCCACTCTCCAGGATCAGTCACGCTGTATCCATCCATCCATCCATCCATTATCTTTACCCGTTTATTCCATTTTGGGTCACGGGGGTCGCTGGTGCCCATGTCCAGCAATCACTGTGCGAGGGGCGGGGTACACCCTGGACAGGTCTCCAGTCCATCACAGGGACACATAGAGACAAACGAGACAAACAAGCATTCCCTCTCTCACTCACACCTAGGGACAATTTAGAGTTACCATCAGTCTAACATGCATGTTTTTGGTCTGTGGGAGGAAACCGGAGTACACGGAGAAAACCCACGCATGCACGGAGAGAACATGCAAACTCCACCCAGAAAGGCCCCTGGACCGGGGTTTGAACCAGGGACCTGCTCGCTGAGAGGCAGCAGCTCTACCAGTTGCGCCACCGTGCTGCCCGCATCAAAAACATTAACATTAAATTACATTCCCATTCAGTTCTAGTCCAGAAAAACACTTATTTCAAAAATGCAAACATTCACTAACCAGATCCCTCATTGACAGAGGACATCAGTGTACTGGTTATTAAACTTGTAGTAAAACCTTTTAAACTGACATAAATGTGCAAAGTGACCATCAAGATACAAAAGCTCACTTAATGCTGGTTAGAAACTGTGGTTGAAGATGTCATGATTCTTATCTTTCTTTACTGCTAACACCAGGACCACATTTACTGAAGTCTTCCTCTAGCTTGTGCCAAGTGAACATGAAGGTGACATAATGCCAATCATTTATCTCGTGGTTTCACAGTTTTTGCTGCTAGTAGGTCCTACAGACTCCTGGATGCTGCTTAAGTAGCCACAAGCACATCAAGAAACCTCATGAGGGAGTTGTTCCTTTCCACCGTTGCCTTCATTCTTTCTCAAGATGAGTCTGCGATGAAGTTAGACTCAAAGCAGTCTGCTCCTCAGATAAATAATGTTATTAACTTACTTTTATAGATAATTCAAGCCTGCAACTTGCTGGAGCATATTTTTTGCTCTCTCTCTTTTAGTTTTATATCACAGTTCAGCTTATATTACTAGTTAATAGAACATTCCTTCTGGATACTACTGCAGGGATTCTGAGAGCCGTGAGATGCTTTTGTTTCATTTTTATTACATCTCTTCTATTTACTTTTCTTTTTATATGTTTTTTTATATGATTGTCTACTGTTGTCTGTGCCTCATCTGTGTTCTGTTTAAAACAGGTCTCTCTTTTAAATGAGTCCTCGAGGCTCAATGAGACTAACCTGTAGAAATAAAGGTTGAATGAATATATTAAAAAAATAATTATAATAACCCACCAGTGGTATTTGTAGCACTTTTAAGAACGATGTGTGTGAGGAGTCAGTGATGGTGTAGTGTGACTTACGTCCAAGAGACGGAGAAAAGACGAGGAACAGAAGAGCCAAACACAAAGAGGAGTACGTCAACAGTTCTGGATGGTGGGGTCGCTCCCTGTTGAGGAACATTAATAAAAATCAAAGTTCAGTGACATGTCTCATTCTGTTTGACATTTTATTTTTTGATTTAGTCAGTACAATACCACACAGATGACATGCAGCACTCAGCTGCTATCCTTAAAACTCACCATCATCACATAAAAACATCTAACTTATATCATTGTTTAACGTCATCTGATGTTCGATTCCTCATAAAGTTTAAACTATATTTTTGTATAAATAGAACAGTGGTCAGTCATGTATTGTGATAAGGAAGAACCAGTCACTGACTCTATTTTAATAAAAGCTTACATTTACTCAAACTCGTATATTAGAGATTTTTTTCATCTCTTTCTTTTGGCTGTTCTCTTCCTCAGGGGTCGCCACAGTGAGTATGACGATTTAGCGCCTGTTTTACGGATGCCCTCCCTGATGCAATCACAGACCACAGAGCTACCACATCCCTCTGTGTGGAGCAGACTGCTGTGGTAGAGGCCATCTAGGGCACCAAGGGGAGCAGATGCTCAAGGGTCCAGAGTGGGGCAAATGAGGGTGAAGGCAGGTGTGGGTGCTTCACCTTTACCTCCCACATTTTGATTTTACAAGCAAAGGGATTCAAACCCACAACCTTCTGATCCTATACTTGTTTGTCGAACCTCTGTGCCACCACTCCCCAGTCCAAACTTACGTATTAAAAATGATTTAGTCATATTTACATTTGAAATCAAGCTATATAAAATAAATTGCTAAGGATCATTGTAATCCCACAGCATCTTTTTTCTTCACAATATATTTTGTGATAGTCTCTTTACATTTTTAGCTCACAACACTAACAGAAAACACTGCACTTTGCTTAAATATATAAATCAATTAATTCATGAAATAAAACCAGATCATTCGTTGAAGGAATGAATAACACTTGCGACCTTTCTTTCTAGTTTAAACTGTGATCATCTTGTGTTGGGAAATGACACAATGAAAATCTTATGTTGTTGCAAGACGTCACACTCTGTGTTGGAATGACTCTCAGCCACTCCAACTTCAAATTTTTGCTTGATATCTGTAAAACTGATCAAGGTACAGCTCATTTTGTGTTCACTTTGTGTTAGCTGATGGATGATCAATGGTACTGAAATATTTTGCTAACAGACAAGGCTGATTCCAACACTGAATTGAAGATCAAGATCAAATTGTAGCATATTGTCTATTTCGATTTCTGTGTTTCTATTTCTAAAATTGAGCGAGTTAAAGATATTATGCTGTCATAAGGTCAATTGGCTGTGGCAGCCATCTTGAATTCGGTTGAGTCCAAAAGTTAATCAACTGTAGACATCAACCCATTGACTAATTTCTGAAAGTCTTGTTAAATTTTGTTCCATGGTTCATGAAATGCTATGGTAACGGGCAGACACATGCAAAAAAAAAAAAAAAAACAGTATTGTCTGCTTTCACTTTTTAAATGACTTTAAACCCACTTGGAGGCTCACTTCACAATGACAACATAAGAACAAGTCAATCAGTTGAAAAACTACGCTGAGTCTAGCTGGTAAAATGGCTTCTTCTTGGCTGGTAAGGGCCAAAACCTCAAAGAAAGTCACTGAAAAGAAAGACTGTCTACTGAAAGCAATAAAAGCAACAGGAGTACAACAAAAAAATGTTAAATTGTGTCATCTGGACCAGTTTCTTTAAGTGAGAAACGTTTCGTCCCCCATCCAGAGGACTTCATCAGTCTGCGGTTTGCCAACCAGATCTGTCCCACAGGTAGCCTTCATTGCTGTGCAAACACAAGATTGTTGAGCATGAACTTTAGTGTTTGGAACCATTTTGTCATGACTGTCTCAGAGGAGTTGACAGGGGAGAGGGCGGGCCCGGAGGCCATCTTATCACCAGCAAACGTTTTTTTCCCACTATGGAGTATACTGTCTGTGGAGAATTTTGTTTGTTGGTGGTTCCTCAGATCGAAGAAGTCCTTTGGATGAAGGATAAAGCATCCATCCATCCATCATCCATCCATCCATTCATCCATCCATCCATTATCTTTTACCTGCTTCTTTCTTTTTGGATCACGGGGGTCGCCGGTGCCCATGTCCAGCTATTACTATGCAAGAGGTGGGGGACACCCTGGACAGGTCTCCAGCCCATCACAGGGACACACAGAGACAAACGAGACAAACAACCATTCACTCGCTCTCACCTAGGGACAATTTAGAGTTACCAGTCAGACTAACGTGCATATTTTTGATCTGTGGAAGGAAACCGGAGTACCCGGAGGAAACCGACGCATGCACGGAGAGAACATGCAAACTCCACCCAGAAAGGTCCCCAGACCGGGATTTGAACCAGGGTAACCTGTTCACTGAGAGGCAGCAGCTCTACCAGTTGCACCACCGTGCTGCGAAGGACAAAACATCTCAGCAAACAAAAAGAAACCATCCAGATGACCTGACTGAACATTGTTGGATTTTATACCTGGTTACTGAGCATGAACTTTGGTGCTTAGAACCATTTTGGTATGACTGTCTCAGAGGAGTTGACATGGGAGAGGTCGTGCCCTGTAGGCCATGTTAGCACCAGAAAACATTTTTCCCCCCACTATGGAGTATGCTCAACATTACTTAACATCAGCAACACAACTTAGAATCATATATCATAATAACTGATTATTACAGGAGCTAACTGACTTTTGCTTACACAGAATATGTTACAACTCATTTTTTACAGATACTGAGCAAAAACGTGTTGTAGCAGTAGGTGAAGGTCAACACAAGACAATTCTAACTAATCATTCAACGTGTGTTTGAATGTTTGGCATGCAAAGCAGCAGGCAATAAGCAATACTTTAAGGAATCCCTGGCCTTTATTCATAACAAAAGATCTGTTCAATCATGTCACTATGGGATATAAAACCAATACTCCAAATGAGTATTAATGCTGATTTTACAGCTTGCAAGCAGGTTTTTCTCAGATCTTTTAACAACATTTAAAACCTGTATAAAACCTGTCAGTAAAGCTGTTTCCTTATTATCCAGTAAGATTAAAGGCCTGTGTTAGACCTTTGGCTGCACTCAAACCCTTTAAATGTAACATATGAGGACAAAAAAATCCCCAAATTTGCCTCATCATGTCAGTCAGGTAATAATATGTCACCTGCTTTAACTGCTGAAATGATCCAGTCTTTGATCAGTCCTCCTTTACTTATGCTTTAAACCGACCAACACTCCAGGGAATATCTCTGTCATCTCCTAATGATTTAAAGACCTAAAATGTCTTAAAGGAATGCATGTCACCCACAACCTTTATCAAATTTGGCCAAAGCCTGTCAGCTACTACCACACCAAAGTTTAGCTCAATGTTTGTACAATTGTCAGAGCTTTTGCCATTTTGGGCTGGCAAATGTCAGTTAGCTGTGGTGGCCATTTTTATTGGATTACCTCTAAAACCAGTTAGTAGTGGTAGTAAAGCAGTGGTTCTCAAAATAAGTAGTAGTCAGTTGTATAGTAGTCTTTAAATAGAAACAGGGAAATGCTGAACTGTACAAGAAAACTTGTTTTGTTCAAGTGGGTCAACTCTAGTCATTGTTTGGAGAGATCTTATTGCAATCAGAAGTCCACAAGTGTTTGGGACAGAAGTTTGTTAAATAAAATTTAAACATATTAGTGACAACTGTTAGAAAAATAACCAGGAGTGAAGAGTTCAACATAAGCAATTTACCTTTTCAAGCATGGTCTGGGGAAGGCCATGTTGGTCTGAGGTGAGATGGATGCAGATCGGTCTCAGCTGTGAGATTCTGGATTCAGAAAGAGTCACAGATGTTGAGTTCCCCTGCCTGAAGTCTGTCCTACCTGCTCATAATGAGGACTGATGGAGAGAGCAGCACAGCACAGGATGTTCAAGCATTTTCAGAGGACACATACAAATTTGTTGGATCCCCATTGGACAGGCCGTCAACAGGAGGTGGTGGCTATGTTTTATTACTCAGAGTTAAATGGATACAGAAGCCCACAAGTTTTTACAGGAACAACTGCTTCTTATTTTACAGTCTCTCCTAATGATATGTGTTGACTGTATGTAATTCTGCTAACGTATATTGTTCCCATGAGGAGAAGCAACCCAGTGAGCGATGAAAAGTGGATTTCATGATCCTGTGCACCTACCTGTGTAGCTGAAGGCAGCATGTTGACACCAGGAAAGCCTTGTCATTAACCTGAAGCAGATGAGACGCCCTGTTTATGTCTCCTGCAGTTTCTGGAAATAATCCTACTATGTTTGATCTGCTCTTTAGAAGATCTGAGAACCCAACATGACAACCGTAGGCTGGATTCTGGGAGGAATTAAAGGGCTAGTGTTCCTTGAAGGATTACCTTTCACCTGTCTCCTTTTATGACATTTTTTAACTAAAATGAGAAGGGAATGGAGTTTGTTCAAACCTTGTAAATTACACTGTCTCAGTCTGATGCCATATTGTGAGTTCTTGTGGGATGTGTTAGCACACAGACAATGTGCTGAGGATGATGCTCAGCTACTACTAATGTATACCAGATAATATCTAAATACCTGTCAAACTGACAGCATTGTAGATATTCTTCTGTTGGCTAAGGTGAATTAGCTATGGTGGACTGCCATAGATGGCAGTGGGATGTACACCCATTGAAAACTTTCTGAAAGTTTCTGTAAAATCTATTCTGTGTCGTGACTCGAGAAACCCAGATGGAGCGAAACCAGAAAAGACAAG